GAGATTGTAGGGAGAGACGTTATTTATAATTAGTGAATCAAAACAGCCACTGTTGATAGTAACACATGTACAAGTTCAGAATATTACGGAGCAAGTGCACCGAGAACCTTGGCACTCGGTGCAAAGGGAAGACCGAACATGCGATCTCCCAGAGGTTTTGGTGGCCATCCATCCATGAAGACGTAGCAGAGTTCTGCAAAAATTTTAGCACATTCTATGACATCAAGTCACCCTGACAAATATCCTGTGCACCCTTAGTTCCAATGACGACAGAAGGTCCACATCAGCGAGTTGGTATCGATATTATGGGGCCACTCACAACGTCAAAGAACGGCAACCGCTATATACTGGTGATGGTAGATTAGTTTGGCAAATAGTGTGAAGCCGTTCCTATACCACAACAAGATGCCCTCATAGTTGCTCGGCCTTTAATTGATCACTGGGTATCTCGGGACGGCGCTCCATTCTGACCAAGGCGCAGCTTTTGAAAGCCATCTCGTCTCCCAGGTATGCCGTTCATTGGGAATCCGCAAAACGCACACTACTGTATACCACCCAGAAGGTAACAGCTTGGTGGAAAGAACAAACAGGACTATCAGAACCCTCCTACAATCGTTTATCAGTAAGTCGTAAACGGAATGTTGGGATGATGTGATACCCTAATGACTTTTAGCGTACCGCTCATCACTGTACGGATCCACGGGATTTTCACCTGCGACCTTACTCTTTGGACATGAATCGCGCCTACCTGTTGAGCCATAAATACCGTTGTTACCATGCGAGGCTCAAGATCATGTATTATACATCCGTAACCTTCACAGCTATCTAGCCGAAGCATATCACCTAGTTAAGATCAACCTACAAAATGCTAACAAACACCAAAAGGATGTGTACGACCGCAAGGCGAATGGACCCGTGTATAAACCCGGGGATCGTGTTTGACTGCACCGTCCTTTGGCCCCACCAGGGACATGCAGCAAGTTCCACCAACCTTGGCAAGGATCTTATGAAGTTGTTTACTCGGTCTCCCACTACATTCGTCCTACTTAACCTCCAACAGCCTCAAGACGATGTTATGACGGCACACTACAACCAATTGAAGCCAGACAGAACTGTGCACTCAGATACCCCGTTCGTCAATCCACTGACTGCCGTCAGTCACTATGAAGTGCCACCAAAAGGAGGGGTAGCATACCCATGTTCAGCACCAGGCACTGAGGACAGTGCCTCATGGAGAGTGGGGGTAGTGAACGTACTAGAAGAAGAGGAACAAGCCTTAAGCAAGCTGAACCTGCAGAACAATGAATAAGCCCATTTTGTAATAAGCTTCCCTTTTTGTACTCGAACAGCGTCTTACAATTTCTAAATATATCTCTGTTGTGCCAGTACTCCGTGTTCTTACTTCAGTGGCATTTGTCGGTCCTGACTGTTGTGTTTCAGATCGCTCCTGCTTGCAAGTAAACGCTAATAGTACGTGCTACAAATGTAATACGTTCGTTTGTGCTCATATAGTCCTACCTGCCTTAAACTGCACTGTTTCCGGAATTTCCAGTTAGCACATTAGTTCGAATACTTCTAATTATCATAGCTTTATATAAACCAAATAGAGTGAGGAAGTTACGGGACGGAATTAAGAGATTGATAAAAGGGAGTGCGTAATAAACAAACAGCGTTGTCAGAGTTGGTATGGGAAGAACAGAGAACTCATTGTATGATTTGACAATCAGATACATTAAGCAATGGCAGTAACACCGTAAAAGAAATTTGAGGACGTGGTTTGGAATGTGAGTAATCGGACAATTAAAGACTTTAACGTATCACTTCGGCTATTGATTTGTATTTTGAACCATGCCTTTAGGTATTGAGTTGAATCGCCCCATTAAGCAGCACCGCAACACAATATATAGAAGAAAGTATAATGCTTACCTCATAAAATACGACATCGTTAAATGAGTGGTAAATGTAACAGTCATGTTTCGCTACAAAGTGGTCAGTCATCAGTAGTAAGAGATCAATCGACCTATATTACTCCTTGAAGTTTGTTGTAAAGATCCAATCTTGCTTTTAGATTATCGAGAGGAGGTACTGACATTACGTGTTCATGCAGTGAATTCCAATAATTTGCTATTCGGGACGTGAAACGGAACTCCAGACGTAAATGATTAGCTCCCGTATTTCGAACATACTTAAAATGTCTTCTCAGATGGCCGGTCCTAATAGGAAAGCAAAGACACGATAGGCCAGTATTAGGTCGGCCTGTTAAGCATGAAAGGCCTTGACTGGAACCATGTAGTTCCCTGGCTAAAAGATCATTCCCTTCCAGCAACTTTCTCTAGTAACTCACCCACAATACTTTACGCAAATGAAGATGTGAAAACAAGCATAAATGCGGTTCCACGCTGTATCGAATAGCGTAGTATTATTTATTACGGTTTATCTGTAAACAAATTGCTAATCATGTTGTTTACAGAAGTATATTTGATGTGACCAAGCGGATTAAATACGATAATCTGAGCAGATTTTAACTGATAACACACAAATTGACAACAAATCTGACTGGTAACCGCAGAGTTTCATATTTTAGTAACCTGTGGAATAATAGGAATTGAAGTGTGGCCCATGACTGGGAATTTGGAAAAATACTACATCAAGTGCTTAGGGAACCAAAAATTTACATTGAAAGAGTGACTAAATAATTTTCATTGATTGATTAGACGATAAAGAAGATTGCTCGATGAGGTTCTTCTGACGACTCAGCAGCATGAAACCAAATGTGGAACAAGAAAGTTATCCTTCATTTCCCAACGTCTTGGACTGTTAATTTCTGCCTCAGATTCCGCGTATTATTGTTATCGGAAGAATCCTGTCAAACTGACTTAAGTCGAAACGTTAAAGATCCCAACCAGTTTAGCATATTTTATGAAGACAAGCATTTTGATCAACCCCTTATTATTAGCTTGATAGTAGAAGGCCAAATAGCTTTTTTGAAAACTTATTTCAAACATATTGGAGCAACAGATGAAACCGAAACGACCGGGTAGACTCGGTGTACTTATAGGTCTCCATGTCAATGTCGACGGGTAAGGGAAACCCAAAAATGTAGTTACGAAAAGTTTGGTAAAATCTTCAAGGGCACACGGGACGAAGATGCTACATAGTGGTCAAATATTTTGTGATGTCTTTATAATTGTTATAGTAATATTATGCTAATTTAGTACGAAATCTCTTATAACAGTTGGGATTTACTTAAAAATAGTTCAGAATGATAAAAAAAACCGATACCAGGAAATTATACCATTATTAGTCAATAAAATGACACGCTCATAAACTAATTATGAAACAAAAATAAACGCGACCATAACCGATTTGATCTATTAGGACGTAATAGTGCCTGAAGTTTACTGGACGCCTGATGAACCTAACACTTCAATTACCAGTCAGTTCCCTGTCCGTAGTAACAGTCCACTGAACATGGACCTCTGTGTTTCAAAAGAGAATTAATATATAGTTTGTAGAATTAAAAAGCAGTATGCGAACATATCTAAACGGATTAATGGGTTTACTCAAGGATTTTGCAACGTATACATAAATCTAAAAACGATTAAAACAATTATATTACTACCTGGTAAATTCCCCAAAGTACTATAAAACCAAAAACACTCAAGATAACGATACTGACTTACTCCTAATTTTATGAAATTCACTGAAATAGTTTAAAAATGAAGCACTTGAAACTAATAAAAGGTAGCATAAATGACTGAGGGATAGTGTGCACATAGTCGTTACATGATTATACTTTATTTTCCCATCATTTTGTGATCATCTCTAGATAAACAGATGTTGAAGATTGACCGCTTACCTATGATACAGCACAAAATGCATGTTTGTATTTCCTACTAGTATATAAATATATTTGTTGGGATATTCAGGAAAATATCCCAAAAACTATCCTGTTAAGCCTAATGCTATCCTTGGACATGAAATGGTATCATCTTATTGGTCAATATTTATTTAACGTGTTATTTCCCTGTTGGCCAATATTGTACAATGTTATTTTCTATTTTGTGGTACGTTGTGGTCTGCTTGACTGGTATATAAACAAAGTATGTTTGAAATATAATGATTCATATCTTCGAGGCTGTGACTTGTGTTCTGGACTCAACTGGCTGGGTTATACAGGGAAGCAGGACCAATCAGAACCCTAGGCCGTTCTACGTGTTTGTGCGTCTCTGGTCCGATCAATAATTCGCTACCCCTTAATCAGCATTTATTTTCACAGTTATAGCAATATTACTCTAATTACTTTATTTAAAGTGAATTTTCTCATAGACATGAGGATGTATCACATTGGGTAGTTAGTACAGAAGAAGTAACTGGAATGAAATCTCTAATGGCTTCGCCACAGCTACGATCAAAGACGAGGGACCATGGGAATACACATAGCGGTTAGTAGAATGTGTATACAACCTGCTATTATCACAAAAACTGAAACTGGTCAACCTAGGTATCTCTATAACTGGTGTTCAGGCTTTTGAATAATCTCGAGTAAACCCATAATTCTATAGGAGATTTGGCCTGCGTTAAATACTCAGTTAACGGGATGCTATTTATTGGAGTCAAATATAGAGGAAATTAGCCTCTACACAGACAACCCCTCCATTAGCCACAGGTTATTCTTGGGGAATCAACTAATATAACCATAGTCCAGTTTTCGATAGATTCCACTATAAAATAAGAAAGATTGATTCAGCCCACTAAATCGTGATGTCTAAAGGTTAACACATTTTGCGAATGACTGTCACAACATTGAACCATATAACAAAAAATACCACTTTTTCCAATATGTAACCTATCTAACACTTCTGGTATGAGGGAAATAGTGCACTCGTAGTAATTCATAAATATAAGAGTATTGAACTGAAGCACCTCATAATTTTTACAAGTTGAAACCCGTACGAAAACACAGGAAATGGCCAACAAAATCCAATAAAAAAACAAGGTAAGAGTGAATAATCAAGTATTTTTGTTTACAAAATTATGCACACACTATAACATTACATATATTCAGCGCATAAACTGATTTTCATGTTCTGTGAGTATTTTGGCAGATTGTTTTGCATTAAGAAATAGAGACCTTACTTCTTCGATATCTGAGGGTTCGACTTCATCTCTTCCACTCAACTGAGCAAGACGACACGCCGGGGTCAAAAGTTGGACAGCATATCTAGGAAAATAACAAAAAACTGTTTAATTTGGTGAGAAACAAAGAAATTCAGCAAGACAAATATTGTACAAAACAATCTTAAGTTTCTAAGCTGAAATATAAATATCCATAACCATGAGATTATAACAACTGCCGTGGGCGTTCTACTCATTGCCTTCGTACGACGAGTGTTATTTACAGAAATGAGAGAAGGAAAAGTGGATGTTCAGAAATTCAACCGGCTTGGTGGGGCCACGTAACAGAGTTGGAAAACCGTGATTTCAAACCAATTGTACACATATGGGTTCCAAGATCCTAAGGAAATGATTAATGTACAAACCCACTTTGGTCACCGACTGCCATGGGACATTTCCTAACGTAGCCTCACTGCTTTGTCGATAAAACTGGTACGGTGGGCCAATTAGAAATAAGTGAATGTGATTGGCCGAAAAATGTATTTCATTTTCAAGCAATGAAACATAAACCACTAATAGGCTTAATTTATACTGGACAGATACATATGTATGTAAATGAGCACACATACAATCGATTGGGCTTACCCAAACAAACATTTTCCTTAGCTTGTCTCTTTTCTCGAGTTGCCAGGCTCATTTATAGATAGCGTGTATCAATGTCAACTCTCAGACACCACAGGTCACAACAAAGACCTCTAGTCCGAACGCTCGGAGTGGCTGTCCACGAAAATCACCTGTCTTGGGTTAAGCACCCAAGCAGTATGTCAGGGCATACAAAGATATGATTATTGATGAAGAAAACGTTTCCATACCCCACATAAACCCTATACACTATATATATCAATACGCAATTACAGATAAATGTCATACTTTGCTTCGTCTTTCTATTGATTTGTCACTTCAATTTCGCGGATACTTCTCGTTTTTTACCCACTTAGAATCTCGTCTAAGGTGGGTATGTCCTATCTTATTTAAACGTTCTCATTTTGTTCTACAGTCGAATTTATGAATGGTCCCACTAAATGTGACACGTGATACAGCTTCTCTGAAACCATATGTACCATCTAAATAACCTTTCATGAACATTTAGACTAATGAAGATCATAAAACGGATATGTTTGGCTGTCTTCGCTAGAGCGAAATACTACAGATTCGCTTTCCGTCTGTCGTTTCGAACAGTTTGTTTTATATGCGGTTATTTGGAGACTCTGTGGCATCTTCGTCAGTCTAGATGACATGATGTTGCAATAAGCACCAGATCAGAGGAAGTAGTAATCGATTCGATACCCATTTGCAGTCCATTTATGTTGTTAGATTAAAAGGCTCCATCAAAGTGAGAAACTGGCATGAGGAACGTCTTTTAATAACCTTCCCATATGCCCCAACAAATTGTAGCTTCAGTGATGAGTTTTGTCAATAATTTAACGATGTTTTCGAGAAAGTGAGTACGACAGATAATGTATTGCTAACTGGAAATTCGAATGCACAGGCCAGGGGTCTCAGAACAGAAGAGAGCCACTTGAGTAGTCCATAAAGTAACGAAAACGTGTAGGAAATTGCCCTTAAATTGATGACTTTGTCCTTCATAAGTTGTACTTGAGGATCCCATATCCCAACAAAATTCTGATATATATTATAGAGAAAGTAAACCTAATTTAGCGAGATCATTGAAAACTTACCGTAAAGTTGTATCTGTAGCGACAGTTGCAAGGCAAGTGAATGCTTGTTCAGATACTTTTATCCCTTCAGTTTGTGCACGTATACGTAGGATTTGGATTACTTCTTCACAAGAATAGGGAAGGGTACGTATGATCATAACACGATCTAGTAAATCTAATGGGATTCCATGAGGAGAAATAATGTCTTCAGTGCCTCTAAATTATAGTTGAAAAAGAAAATATCACCAAATAAAAACAAAAACAGTGATAAGAAATAGACCGTTTAAACACAGATGAATACAAATGATTCAGAGAAGCGATACCTTGCAGAGTTGGTTTTCAAAACCATAATACCCTAGCAAACAAACAATGTTTATAAGCTTATGACTTGTTACATATATACGATTCAGCAGTCTTGGAAATAAATTCGTTGAAAAGAACTTTTCACTGAACTGATTCCTTTGTAACTTAATGAATATATAAGAGTTAATTAAAAAAACACTGATGCATTGTGTTAACTTAAATAACAAACACCGAATGAATGGAAATATGTAGTTGGAAGTATGAAGCCTATCTTATTAAGTCATATCAAGCATAAATATGAGACTACTAATAATAGTTGTAGTTTGTAAATCAATATCACTTAATCGGCGTCAACAAATGATTAGAAACGAATATCAATTGATTTAAGCTATCAATATTAAGAAAAAGAGAAAAGAAGTTAACAAGATGAGAACTTAATGAAAGGAATTATTTCTAATTACGTCACTGAGACAGGTATTTCCCAATATTATTCAACACCTCCAACTACTGATTGGGAGTATTTCGAGGAATCCAATTGGGAAAGCTGTATTTATTTATAGCACTCATACTACTAGTAGTGAATTAGTTCATTGATTAATGCCATACCTTGATCTTCTTGCTTTTAATTTTCCCCCAAGGTTACTCAGCTAAGGATCTAAAATTGACGCTGTAAGCAATGATGTGCAAATTTTAGTAAATTCCAATGCATACCACGATCTTGTGATGACGAATATTAATTTTTAGTACCAAAAAACCGAATTATATAAAGAGATTACACGATTGATAACCAGTTGACTACAATGGAATTATTTCACGATAAATGCTTCGGTTTTGGACTATGGATAATACTTAAGTGTATATGAATGCTATGAGACTAGACCAAATTAATACAAAGCCCAGATTACAAATGTATTTCAAGTGACGTATGTTAAATTTGATAAGACGAGCGATGACTTAAACCATAGCGGTGAGAATAATATATGAAACTGACTTGTCCAATCTCCTCTGACGTGTAATCACATCTTGAGGAGAAATAATGATATTATTCGGTCATTTGGTTATATCTATTGACTATAGATGGTTAATTTTATATGGTAAATGTGTCGCTGACTAACTGATGTTATGTACTACTAAGATTAAGTTATACAAATTTGACCGCAAATAAACTACATGAGAAGCGTTGTATTTATATAACATTTTGATTTATTTTTGGGGTCAAATAATTTTATGTCAGCAGCCTGTGTTTTCACTACGCCTTATCAAACTTGGGGTTTCAGTACCAAGAGCAAATCAGTTGAGGATTCACATGCATAGGGGATGGGGTGAATTAACTAGAATCTGGATGATTTCAAGAGATAGATGAATGCCGTGTTAGTGATGTTAATAAATGCCTAGAACAAATAGCTGAGAATGTCGTTAATACAATCGATATTCTATCACTGATCACTTTTCACATTTACTGTAAAATGACAAAGCAACTTAAATGAAAACGCTGACCATATTATTTCATCAATTTTATAGAACGTATAGTTAACAAAATATTGACGTGAAACTTTTACCAACTCAAGTCGCTTGGTGCAGCATCGGATAACAAGTATGATCAAGATCGACGATTAAATATTAATAACACAGTAAGCGATGTTTGTTTTTAGGACTAAATATTTGTCACCTACCACGAAAGACTTCGCTGTTCAGGTTAGTTGCTCGAATAAACAGGTAACAAACAATGCTAATAGTGGTGAAACTAACACTATCCGCTATTAAACAGACAACAGAAAATAGGATAACACAAGAATATATTACGTCTAACAGTATCGATGATTTCACATGGCCCTAACAACTTTCTTCCTTCTCCATTAAACTATCAATTAATTAATGATGCGGATACAAAGTCGTTTTCACGCGGATGAGTAGTGAATGAAAGTTATACTCTCTACAACAACTATTCAACAAAAAACCCTGGGACGTTGGATAACATAACCTAGTGAAAACACATTCCAATTACATAATTGGCAGTGACACTTCATCGAGAATTTGTATTTCATAACCATGATTCTAAATCTGAATTAACAGCAGGAATCATTGTGCAACCGAAATTCAATACCAAAATATAACATTGAAAGCAAACTAGTATCAGTTGGGGAAGCTACAACAATACCTAATTCGATTTGAAATAGTTTAGATTATCCCGTTGCTGATATTTGACTAAAATTTGATCAGTCTTGATTGGTATATTTACACCTTATGAGGATTCCCTCGATATACTCAAACACAACACAGACAAAATGGAATGTGGCTAGCAGTGGAATCCAGGACGCGCCCTTTGTCTTATTTCGGATTCGTCAGCCGGATTATGTAAAGCCCCGAATCGATGTCCACCCAATGACTCGAACCCAGAACCATTTACTTCAAACGCCACTGCGTTATCCACTTAACTAGAGTCTAAATAGCCACTCACTCGCGCAAGATAGATCTACCTGATGATTTCAAAATAGGACGAAACGCGCGTCCTGAATTACACTGCTAGCTACATTCCATTTATCCCATATTATTACTACCCCCTCTGTTTGAACCGGGTGGTATCATGAGCGCTCACATTTAGAATGTGGTTTGTATCCAAGAACCTGGAGAATAAGTTAATTTAAATCAAATTACTGTCAGTATCAAATTACTAAGATCCTCAGACATAAATGATCTTTTAGCTGATATAAATGTCACCACCATATATCTAAGGTATAGACAGTAAAAATTCACCATAGTAACCAAAAAATATTGTAAGATTCCACGCTCTAAAGACTGAAGAATTAGTATAGAAATAACAAAAATGGTCGTTCTTTGAAGCCGTATACCGAATTCATGAAATTAAAATGAGCTTGTATTTTACATAATTTTCCAACACAACACTGAAAGATACAAAAGTACTTACAATACAAATACCATAAATTTAAGAACAGAAAGTATATAAAATAGGCAGTTAACTAGTGACATCCCGAAATCAAAAACTGACCCTTTAAGATCAAAACTATAGTAAGATGCTAACTTTGAAAATTGACATTTGATACGTGTGTATATTCCTGGTTAATTCTGAAAAAAAAAACACCATGAATCGAGGAAAACGATAGTTAGCAGCGATTGATAGTAACACTTTTATCATAGTGATGACCATGAGCCAAGGAGTGTAATGTAAATAACAAAGTCTCCGGCTAATATTTTCCGAATAGTATTAATCACTCAAGTTTTCAATTGTTTATGGATCTCAAAGTAGTCACTATAACGAACATAAACTTCACAATTCACAAAAGCTATAGTATGTTGTTCAATATGCGGTATCATAACACTTTAGTCATAAATCATTAATTGTACATAAGAATAATAAATGGTTATCACTGTGTTAATTATCCTTGCATCAGTTTGACTCTTCAAAGTGTACATCATGAAACAGGTAAAACGATTAGATAAAATCTGGAAGTTAGTTAAAATTATATAATTTTCACCTTTTTAAGAGTAAAAAACAGGATAGGGAATATTTTCACTGAATGTATCGAGTTTATACAAATAAAACATACCTGATGGTACATTTCCCCCGATTGGTAGCAAAAATAACGATGGGTGCGATTGTTGATTCGAGTGCCCGATGAAGATAAGTGAAACATTCGATGTCTAGCATGTGTACTTCATCAATAAACAACACACCAGGAACAAGTTCAGCGATGCCTTGATCTATGTATTTATTAACAACCTTGTTGATTTCCTTCCTTAGTTTATCTGTTTAAAAAAATGAAATACGCTACTGGAATTTAGATAATCCCATCAACAAATAAACATAACAAGATGGTCAAGCAACTTGGAATTTAATAATTACTAAATTGTTTGAACTTATCTGAAAAGCCTTGATAGTAAATACTGCTTCAATTTAGGAGAGTAAAAGTTGACAGTCCCAAACTAAATTAAATTGGTCCATATTTCCATACTTTACAACATACAAAACAGGAAGTTGATAAGATTGATGAAAAACAGCTAAAAAGCAGTTACGAATTCAACACTTACATCATGAAAGATAACTTGTCCAAGAACTACACATAATTCTCTTATTACTCATTTAGATCAAGACATGTTAGTAAAGTTGTAATCACCATATATATTGGCGCTCTCTTGTACCAATATTTGTGTTCAAATAAATAAATAAATAATAAATGTAATCACCAACGCGGACGGAGATAACTAGTGGCTTCATAGGCTTACTGTGATCTAAATGATCACACTTTTTTTACTACAATTGACATAATATTCTAGAGTAGACAGTAACTTGTGATGGATTCAACTTGACACTGGTTGTCATGTATTGGCAGACTCCCTAACATAGGTCTGTCTTTTTTACAAAGTGAAAATCAACTGTGCGGAATAGGTTATTTAATGTGGGCTACATCTCCATACGAAATATGTTGTCCTATGAATGCTTATTCAGCATTAACCAATTACGCTGTGTTCCAGTGAAATAGTACAACTCCAGAAACCAAGTTAACTTCTACCTAAAGTAACCAGAGATCTGTCGATGTGGGAACCACTTCCACAGCTCACTGTATGATGTAGAATGATGCTAAATATTGGTTATCGAAAACCGTGAACGAATAAGACACATGAAAATATGTTTCGATGTTAAATTACATGATATTATAATCAACCGACAGCAGGGTAGTACCACTAGTCTTCACACGCTAGTGTAAGTCCAAGATTAGTATGAGTATCTGCACTTAGAGTTGAATTATTAGTACCTTAATTTGAAAACAAAACTTCTTGCAAAGTAAGGATTACATTAAATCACGAAACGTCAGAAATGCAGTTTTCTACGCTTTTTGATATAACAGAATATTTATTATTAAGGATTAGTAACTTGGGTAGATACTCAGTACGTAGGATTTATCTGCGAAATCATTGATAATACTTTTTTTAAAGCCAAAAAAAGTGTGGAAACCTCAGATAACTATCTTAAACACCAACTTACTATACGAATTTACGATAACGAGAGTCTGGAGAAAGTAGTAAAATGTGTGGAAAACCTGTTTGCATCTCCTTTCAGTCAATAAACAGAATTTTTAGGGAGTAATTTGAGTATGGCTATTTCAGGACCTGATGAGATTAAGCTCATTGACATAACTTCGACCAAGCTTGAGTTACTCTAGGCTAAGTCAGTTTATTACTTGTGATTGCTAATTTGAGCAACCGAAACCCAGGTTTTTCAAAGTATTAACTATACTGTTTAATGTTCGTTACCGAACCTGTATTTACTAGACCTCTGTATCCATATGCAAGCATTGGTGGTCCTCAGGAAGAACGTATCCTAAGCGGTTAAATAATCTCGTTAAACTGACACTTGATATGCATGCAGTCTTACGATTTTTGACTCAACCCTCAATGATAAGTTATCGATATTTTACAAGTCATAAAACCATGAAACTGAATGTTCGCTGTGATGAAAACAATATTAAACTTTGACTCGCTAATATAAGGAAAACAAACTAGCATAAAAAGCCAAGAGGCATTAAGTTACAAAACTACACCTGTAATTTCCGTCTTTTTCGGTTTCATTAGCTGACCCATCATTGAGACAATATCTTGCCCCCCTTGAGGTCGGGCGTTTGCTACATCCAGATCGTGAAGTGTGACATCCTGAACAACATCTTTCTTTTTATGGACTTCCCCTTTTGGAAGAGGGACATACTCGTCAGCTTCTAAATCATATTCAGCTGTATAAACATCACATCTTCCCTGACGCTTGACTGCACCGGAGTTGGCTTCGATATAAATTACATCCCCGACCTCAACATGTTCTTTCTGAAGACTCTCATAAATACATGGGTCTAACTTCAATTGTTTGACACCTTTAGCAGTACGCAAACTGATAATAACGTGACTGATTGTTTTGCCGAAACCTGTTATTTTATTAAACAAATAGATTCAGTTACCTCCAGTTGGACTTTCTGTTTCTACCGGAGTTAACTCGGTTACTTCTCCTTCATAGACTTCTTTGATCTCTTTTATGCGCAAACCTGTAGTCTTTTATCATGAAGGCATTGGTGAAAATACCTATCGCTCGCCTGAAGTTCTCCATCAAAACTTCCGTCTTCTTTATTTCGGAAGAGTAAACCTCACTTCCAACCATCGGGCAAAATGGAACTTTCCCACCAAGGTCCTGAGCAATGGCTAAAGCTATTGCAGTCTGCGAAGCGCAAAATTTAGAAAATCACAATATAAAAAGTGTTTGGAGCTTGTATTAGAATTTTGCTCTGATACAAGCATATTCAGTCATACTAACCTTCCCAGTCCCTGGAGGCCCTGCCATTAAAACTGCACGTCCAGCCATTTTCTTTGATCTAATCATTTCTACTACAATACCAGCGGCCTGGTGTAAAAGTACATCGAAGAAATACACAATACTTCACGCGCGCACTCTTGACCAACAAGTCCACATGCATTTGACAGAGCAGTGCCAGTTTCATCTAACCCAAGGCCCTTGATGTGTGTATGGGCTGCTATTCTCTGAGTTTTCGATGTGCTGCGAACCTCTTCTATTTTCATTATTGTGGATAGTATTGACAAGATAGCCCTGACAACCGAGACGTATGGCGCTTGGAGCAACGGCTGATAATACTGAATGACTTAAACACCAACTTTTAAGTTAAATGGCCATGTCTTAAGCGTGCTGTATTAATGACAGTAAGTAGTCTAATCTGTGCTGTTAAGTGCGGAGGCTAACTCTGTGAAAGTCAGTTTTCTTCTCCAAATAATTCATTGGTGAGTTATATTCTTGCAGTAATAAATAAATCTCCAAAATCAATAGCTCTGTAAGTCTTCGACATTTGATGCTAACCACATTGGTTTTACTGTACACACCTAGCCGAAGGCGCTTGGTCACGCATCCGCAATAAATCACCAGTGGATACGCCATGCCATTCATTCCTTTCAACTACTAGCCAGCTTAGACCAAACGATTCTTGATATATCAATAACTTTCCAAATATATCGTTGAACTCCTTCGTTTCTAACTTCTACCCTGGCTCTGTTGGCATACTTCGATTACGAAGGTGTTACCGATTAAAGCGTCTTCAAACTCCGAATACCTGTGGCATCCTTAGTGTTGAGACCGACGTGAACTGGTACACCAATTCGTAGACTGTGAGGCTGTTTTTGTTGGAACATTATATATCATTTTTTAATTTTTATTTTTATATCGTTTGATTTCGTTTTCAGATTTCCAGACACTTTCTCTCGTTCGTTTTTGTACTTTATGCTCATCATGGCGAAACAATCTCCTAATTTATTTGGGATTAGGACTTCTTCGTTTCCCTCATTTCAGCTAATTTCATTTGGGCCCGATAATGCCGAAGCCTGTTTCCGTTGTGCAGAAGCTAACTTTGAGCACGGCGTTTCAGACACACGTGCACAGTTTGTCGCAGTAATACGGGAACTGTCGCGCGATTTCCTCAGGCAGGTCACACCTGGTATGCTTACTAGTGATGTTTGGGGGCATTCCGAAACTCTAAAAAGGGCTTTTCTTAACTGACCGAAAAGGTTAGATCAACTCTTTCACAACATCAATCGACAACATGGCTCGACGACGGGCATGTTTCTACAAATAAGGGAGATCATTTTTCAACGGACCTTTGGCAATGGCCTGTTTCAACAACATTTTTAGTTCAAGCTTCCTCAATAGGTGCAGGCAGTGCTTGTCTCATTTCAGAACAACGCTGTAGACGAACTGGATGCACCTGCCGACCGAATTCTGAAGATCGCCATAGCTTCCAACGTCGATGTTTATTAAGTCAAAGGAAAATCTCGAACGACAAGAAATGATGTCACAGAACTGTGCCATACTGTGACACGTTACCTTAGTACTCTTCATGGTCGTAGAAGCTGACAAATCCCGTAATTTTTCACGAAGACGATGTATCTCTAGATCAGGAGAAACAAATGACCTTTTTTAGTGTTGTTATCGAAATAAGCATAGATAATCTTCTCGAAACTTCGGAAACCCCAGCAGTTTTCCGATTTCCCGAAAGACGTTCCGACAAACTTCCCATTAACTTCGCATTAACAGAAACCGTGACCGGTGAACATAGCCGTTTGTTATGCATCGTTGGTGTGATAAAGAAAGTTCGCTACTTCGTCAAAATTGGTGCAGAAGTCAGCATTTTTCCCGTAATCCTAACGACAAACTCCACAAAGCAGTTTACAACCTACCGTCCGAAAATGGTAAGCCGATCGCCACATATGGTAAGACATATGCTTATCTTAACGTGAGTTTACGTGAGCCCGTTCACTGGATTTTCGTTGCTACAGAAGTTTTTTAGTATGGACCTGCCACAACACCAAAATCTACTCACAGACCCGAGCAAGCGGAAGTTAGTAGATGGCTATACTGGATTGTCTATTTGTGGAACTTCATTTTCTAGCTGTAGGTTATCCTCAATCACTTTTATGCACATAATCGATCCATAATATTGACAAATACTAGATAAGTACCCTGTTACACACCAAACGCAACCGAAATCGCCACGTTTAACCAGCACTCTTACACATCACACCACGACTACATGACCACCTGTATTTTCGACAGCGTTCAGAATAGCTCCCGAAAAGCTAAGGTTGGTCGACAACGAATTCGACCACATGATAGACTTAGGAATCATTCGGCCACAAAACAGCCCATAGGCATCTTCTTACACATGGTCTAAAAAAGACAGTAGTGATTAGCGTCTAACTGGTGACTATCAGTGTCTGAATACGAAAACCACTACCGATCGTCACTCGTCGCCTCACATTAACGATTTGAAAGCTACCCTAAAATGTACAACTGTCTTTTCAGAAATCGATTTGATTAAAGCGTATAACCAAATTACCATGATTGCTGAGATTTCGTTTACTTGTCCTCTTGTACTTTGACCAGTCACATTTGAGTAAATTGAATTAATCTATCCAGCAGAGTAGAAAGGTGTCATTTACCTGACAGGGACCTCGTTGTATTCTGGTAAGTAACTAGGTACGTAGTCTAAAATAGTTTTCATGACTTGTTTGTATCCGATTTCAGGAATGTAAGTTGACCGTACAGCTTATTTCCAGAAACTATTCAGGTATATTATAATCTGTACCTTTGTACTTATTTCATATAAAATCAACGCCAAAATTTCTTGCCGAATCTGGGATCGTGAAGAAGATTTATAGCTCAGGTGGATGATTTTGATGAAGTTTTGTTCTCTGAGCTCAGAAAACAAAATTCCACCAATATTTTACCGAATAATTATGTTCTGAGTTATATTCGTCGGTGCGTGTCACTGACTGAAAAATTAGGTCGTACAGCTTACATCAGCCAAACTATTTCTGGACACTGTTATGCTGAACAGCTTCGTTTTGGCTATCGTATTGTTCCTTTGGATTTGATTTGTTGCAAAAAAGCCAAAATCCTTCATCTACACTGGCAGCGCCGATATTCTGTCTATCCAACAGTAGTGTGGTTTTATCTACTGGAATTTTTCAGGTTGTCTGTATTTTATTTAAAATTACCGAGCATTTTCTTTTGAGTCTGAAATTACCAAACGGACGTGTTTCAGAAATACTGACTACCTTCCGTCTGTCTCAAATTATTAAGCAATTTTTTGTGGTTGGCGAATATTTTCGTTTGTGAAAATACACAGCTTTACGGTTCTAGACATAACCCACTGAAATAGAATATAATGACAATCACACGTCAGTAGAATTCATTCTCAGAACCGATGAATGAAACAAGATTTTAACTCCTAGATAACTCTCTCCTGTCACAAAAAACATATTTTATACTTCACATCATGACCTAAAACCTAGTGACAAATTAGATATAATGAAGCTGACTCTAGTTCAACTGCTCTAGGGATAAAATTACTTCTCTTACTAATGTAATGTGCATCAGATTATAAAGTTGGGAGATATAGTGGGATAAAAACGCGTTAAATATGCAAGAGAATCATTAGAGCATATAAATTAGAATGTGTGACTACGAGCGAGACTGCTGGTCGGCTCAACGAGGAAAGTATACAGTGACACCGTAATAACACCGAATAATCACGGCAAATCATTTTTGAATCTAGAAACATAGTACTTTGGAAGATTGACATGATGTTGGAAAAATGGGTGAGGCTAATACAGGTCAGTCTTAGGAAACAATTATGGAAACTCCATGGCTCAGTCATGCAGGAGCGGTCATCCTGAAAATTTATACTCTTTATATTAGATATATTATTCTATTAGCAGTGTGAATACATTCTCCAAAGGTTTCCTATACACGGACCGGGACAATACTTAAATTTCCATAGTTTCTGTCCGTTGCAATACAAGAGAGGTCCAGTTAAGTGCCTCTTTAACAGGACTCGAAGAATATGTACCTCTGATATGGTGGAAAAAGATGAAAAGTTACTGACTGATACTTTAATAGCAAATGGCTATCCACTCAAGTTTATTAATAGGTGCAAAAGTCAGTTAATGCCAAGACCTCTAATTTATTCAGTGCCAAAGAAAAAGGTTTATATCAGTCTACCATATAGAGGCGAATCAAACAGTATAGTTTTAAGGCAGAGATTGAAAGCAGCCATTGAGAATACGTATTATGCTGCTCAGTTGGTAGTGATTGAAAAGTCTGAGGCCATGATTCCTAATAGACCCAAACAATGCACTAATGATTACGTCACATCCCATTGTATTTACCAATTTACATGTTTGTGTGGACACACATACATAGGGAGGAGTAATCGAACAATGCAATCAAGAGTCAATGAACATGTGCCCAGATGGCTTCAAAATCAGTGTTTGTCAAATGATCCGATCAATGTAGGAGGTAGAAAACCAAGTTCATCGATAGCGAAACATATAATTGAGACGGGGCACAAAATTGACACTAATACAGCATTTAGAACGTTGTATAGAAATTGTCAAGGTCGAATTCTTAAGTTTATTGAAGCCTTGGCTATTCGTAAATTTAAACCCCTCTTATGTGTACAAAAACAATTTGTCGTAACCTTGAATTTACCTTGGTGATCCTTAAGTCATTCTATGACCTAGGATAACGCGACAACTTCTTATTCTTTCTCTCCACTTAGTTATTTTAATTGTACTTTTATTTGTTTGACCTTTATTAATTTTCATATAAAAATGCCTTGACAAATAAATGTGTGGCCAGATTGTTCCAAATGGATAGCGCAAATACATCACATTTTTCAGATCAACTCCGTCTTCTCATTGTTCTATCGAAATTTATAAAAGGGACTAATTGGTTTAAATTTCTTTTATTGTTTAGCGCACTACTTTGCGTTAGAGAAGCCTTTGGCTGTATAGCACAGGCTGTATCGTTTGAAGTATTTTGTATTTTTGATATAATTTGTTCTATTTCCTAAATTAGAATCGTTTAAGTTGACCACAGAGTTTGTGTTTCGATATAATTTAGTACGAGTATCTCAAAAACGCTTGACACGCTATACAGAAGAACGTAGTCTGGCCTATTCGGATAGACTTTAGTTCGTCATTCCTGCTTTCAAACCGAATACTGGCAGTTCGGTCGTTGCGGCGTTTATCTACCAGACTTTATGTAAACATACCCCTGAACTCAAATAGACGTGGGTTTTAATTTAAGG